AAGGGGAAAAAAAATACCTGTCATTATAGTGCTGGTGCTAATGACGCTAATTGAACGGGCTGAAAGTGTCCCATACTTAGCTTTTGATGTGAATGAGGTGTTGCATTGAAGGCTGACTTTCTAATGAGACATCCAGTTAATGACTTTGTTCAAGCTCAAGAAAACTGTTAAAATTGCATATGAAGGCCAATTCTGCACTCTGCTCTCTGTAAAAATCTCTTCAGTTGAGGATTGTTCAGAAGCCTGTGTAAAAGGAGTTCATGATCCAGATTTACTTTGGTCTCAATACCAAGAGTTTACACTGTAAGTGGCACTGTATTAGCATTCTCAGCAGAGAGAAGCCTTTATTTCGAAATGTCATCGAGATGGCGGACTTTTTATTCCAACTCCTGTAAGCTGCATTTTACAAGGAGTAAGGGAAAACGAAGAGTGTTATTCCTTCGACTTCCTGCTTTGTAGATAGCACTAAAAGCCAAATCAAGCTATTTCAATTTTAGCTACGCAATTGACATAGCTGAAGTTGCATGGCTTAATCTGACTTGAGCCCTGCTGTGCAGATGTACCCTAAGGTGACATAGGACTACTTTTTGAAGAGATTTTTGTCCATTCTGACCACATTTTGAATGGTCATCTGGAGATGAAGTGCTCCAGATCCCATTACCAAACACGCCACGCAAATTACTACCAGGACTACTAACTGTATTAAAAATTGATTACTAAATGTGTGTATAAATATCAGTGTGTGTTAGTGGATAGTGTAACTCTGAGTGTGCTAATGCTCTAAAGAGAACTGCACATTAGTGACAACAGGATAAAAGTAAGACATTTCACATCAGTGTGTGATGTACTTTAAAATATGCAAAATATATGCAAAAGAGGACATACTAGGGTAAATTAAACTGGAACTACGGGTATTTAAAGAGGAAAAACAATCATCTTATGGTTAAAACACAGGACTTTCATCAGGACAGCTTGGTTCTAGTCTTAGCTCCACCATAGGCTTGTTACCTTGGGTAAGTTACATTTCCCTTTAACAAAGACGTTCAAATGCAACCAATTTTCTAACTATCTAAATTCATACTATATTTAGGGACCTCACTTTAAGCATAAAAATTTGTTTCCTCATCTGTACTATGAGAACAAATAGTTACCAACCTCATGAGGGCGAGATTAAGATAAGTCTTTCAATTGAGTATGAATTCTTACAGATCTTCAACCAGATGACTGTGATAAGCGGAAAGAATTATCCTAGTTTTTGGAGTAAATGTAACTCAAATACCTTGCAGTATAGTATTGAGTCCAAATTTTAACGATCTCTCAAATTAAAGTAATTGTCTTAAAAACAAGTGCATATGTGCTTTGAAGATCAGAAGCGCTCTGGTAAACGCCTCCGAATTAAAATATTCATACAATACCAATGTATGCACACTAGCACTACTTGACTATTCAAGATTGACAATACTTAAGTGAAAGAGCTGAAAGCTGTTTCTTCCAGCCTAATTACTCAGGAGATGAAACACAGCTGGTTTAGAGACTTACACAGAAAGAGGTCTATTTGACATCCCTGATGGACACCTGAGAAGATGGACACTTCTCCATTAGGAAATGGACCAAAACCACACATTGCAGACAGATCAGAGAGTAGCCACATGACTCCTTTGATACTTTATGCTTTTAAAAAACAGTATTTTCTTTTAAAGATTACGGGTTTTTTTTTTAAATGTACTGGATATACTATTGGCAATGAAGTGTCTCATGTATAGTGACCACACTAGCAGCTTTCCTGGAGTGGGCATGAAATACACAGATTGTAGCCATCCCCATGTTTAATATGAAGCTGTGGACTGTGGAGACTACATGTCCCATCATGCAATGATCCAGTTTGATAGGAGCAGAGGCCACTTGATTCATCAAGGAGTAGTGTATGCTGGAACATTTAACTCAGTGTGCTCCCTCTCTAAAACAGGGACGTATGTCCAGCTTTGGTCAGATGCTTAGAAAGATTAAGCATCTCTTACATTTCAGACTCAATTAAAATAGTTTGAATTTTCATTAGCAAACAGATATTCCAAGTACAAAAGGTACAAAGTCAATATAGTTTTTACTCAATGCACAGTTAGAAATCATTGATAATGGCAGGTGAAGGGAACATTAAGCAAATTTGCAAGAGTGGAATTTGCAAAATGAGCAACGAGGAAAAACCACATACACTCTTCCTCTTAATATCACTTCCCATTAACTCATCTTAAGAGAAAGTCATTTTTTTTGTATTTGTTGAACAAAATTCCACCCCCTAATTCAGTGCTCTTCTGCTTTCTGGTGTAAAACTTCTCTACACTACCTTGGGTTCCCCGTTATGATCTACTACTGTTCCCCTTTATGATCTCACCTTCTGGGTATGTCTAGACTACAGGAGTTTGTCGACAGAGACTTTGTCAACAGATACTGTTGACAAAGCCTCT